GTACTATAGACTACCACTAACATTGTACTATAGACTACCACTAACATTGTACTATAGACTACCACTAACATTGTACTATAGACTACCACTAACATTGTACTATAGACTACCACTAACATTGTACTATAGACTACCACTAACATTGTACTATAGACTACTACTAACATTGTACTATAGACTACTACTAACATTGTACTATAGACTACCACTAACATTGTACTATAGACTACTACTAACATTGTACTATAGACTACCACTAACATTGTACTATAGACTAACACTAACATTGTACTATAGACTAACACTAACATTGTACTATAGACTACTACTAACATTGTACTATAGACTACCACTAACATTGTACTATAGACTACCACTAACATTGTATTATAGACTACCACTAACATTGTACTATAGACTACCACTAACATCGTACTATAGACTACTACTAACATTGTACTATAGACTACCACTAACATTGTACTATAGACTACTAACATTGTACTATAGACTACCACTAACATTGTGCTATAGACTACTAGCATTGTACTATAGACTTCTACTAACATTGTACTATAGACTACCACTAACATTGTACTATAGACTACTAACATTGTACTATACACTACCACTAACATTGTACTATAGACTACTAACATTGTACTATAGACTACCACTAACATTGTACTTTAGACTACCACTAACATTGTACTATAGACTACCACTAACATTGTACTATAGACTACTAACATTGTACTATAGACTACCAATAACACTGTACTATAGACTACCACTAACATTGTACTATAGACTACTACTAACATTGTACTATAAACTAACACTAACATTGTACTATAGACTACCACTAACATTGTACTATAGACTACCACTAACATTGTACTATAGACTACTACTAACATTGTACTATAGACTACCACTAACATTGTACTATAAACTACTACTAACATTGTACTATAGACTACTACTAACATTGTACTATAGACTACCACTAACATTGTACTATAGACTACTACTAACATTGTACTATAGACTACTACTAACATTGTACTATAGACTACCACTAACATTGTACTATAGACTACCACTAACATTGTACTATAGACTACCACTAACATTGTACTATAGACTACCACTAACATTGTACTATAGACTACCACTAACATTGTACTATAGACTACCACTAACATTGTACTATAGACTACCACTAACATTGTACTATAGACTACCACTAACATTGTACTATAGACTACCACTAACATTGTACTATAGACTACCACTAACATTGTGCTATAGACTACCACTAACATTGTGCTATAGACTACCACTAACATTGTGCTATAGGCTACGACTAACATTGTACTATAGACTACTAACATTGTACTATAGACTACTAACATTGTACTCAGTTTAACACGTAAATAAACGCGATCTAACCCAAAAACCTTTATTATGAATAACATTGTACTATAGACTACTAACATTGTACTATAGACTACCACTAACATTGTACTATAGACTATCAATAACATTGTACTATAGACTACTACTAACAATGTACTATAGACTACCACTAACATTGTACTCTAGACTACGACTAACATTGTACTATAGACTACCACTAACATTGTACTATAGACTACTACTAACATTGTACTATAGACTACGACTAACACTGTACTATAGACTACTACTAACATTGTACTATAGACTACTACTAACATTGTACTATAGACTACCACTAACATTGTACTATAGACTACTACTAACATTGTACAATAGACTACCACTAACATTGTACTATAGACTACCACTAACATTTTACTATAGACTACTACTAACATCGCACTATAGACTAACACTAACATTGTACTATAGACTACTACTAACGTTGTACTATAGACTACCACTAACATTGTACTATAGACTACCACTAACATTGTACTATAGACTACCACTAACATTTTACTATAGACTACTACTAACATTGCACTATAGACTACCAATAACATTGTACTATAGACTACCACTAACATTGTACTATAGACTACTAACATTGTACTATAGACTACCACTAACATTGTACTATAGACTACTACTAACATTGTACTATAGACTACCACTAACATTGTACTATAGACTACTAACATTGTACTATAGACTATCACATTGTATTATAGACTACTACTAACATTGTACTATAGACTACCACTAACATTGTAATATAGACTACCACTAACATTGTACTATAGACTACTACTAACATTGTAGTATAGACTACCACTAACATTGTGCTATAGACTACCACTAACATTGTACTATAGACTACCACTAACATTGTACTATAGACTACCACTAACATTGTACTATAGACTACTACTAACATTGTACTATAGACAACCACTAACATTGTGCTATAGACTACCACTAACATTGTACTATCGACTACCACTAACATTGTACTATAGACTACCACTAACATTGTACTATAGACTACCACTTTTTGTGGGTGTCTAGAGCCGATAGGGGGCACCCCCAGTGGCAGCTGTCTCTGTGTGTGTCTGCTGTGTTTGGGTGTCTATAGCCGAAAGCACGAAATCGCAAGAAGATGGAGAAATCCACCCACTCACTCACCCACTCACCCACTTACTCACCCACCCGCTCGCTCACCCACTCACCCACTTACTCACCCACCCGCTCGCTCACCCACTCACCCACTTACTCACCCACCCGCTCGCTCACACACTCCCCCACTTACTCACCCACCCGCTCGCTCACCCACTCACCCACTTACTCACCCACCCGCTCGCTCATCCACCCGCTCGCTCACCCACTCACCCACTTATTCGCCCACTGACTCACCCACTGACTCCCCCACACACTAATCCACTCACTCAACCACTCACTGACTCACCAACTCGCTTATCCGCTCACTCACCCACACATTCATCCGCTTGGTCACCCACTCACTCACCTACCCATTCACTCACCCACTCACCCACTCACTCACCCACTCACCCACTCACTCACCCACTCACCCACTCGTTCACTCACTCTCTCACCCACACACTCATCCACTCCCCACTCACTCACCCACTCACCCACTCACCCACTCACCCACCCACTCACTCACCCACCCACCCACCCACTAACTCACCCACCCACCCACCCACACACCCACCCACCCACACAACCACACACCCACCCACACACCCACTTACTCACCCACCCACTCACCCACCCACCCACTCACCCACCCACGCACCCACCCACTCACCCACCCACCCACCCACTCACCCACTCACTCACTCACCCACTCACCCACCCACTCACCCACCTACCCACTCACTCACTCACCCACTCACCCACCCACTCACCCACCCACCCACTCACCCACCCACCCACTCACCGACCCACTCACCCACCCACTCACCCACCCACCCACTCACCCACCTACCCACTCACCCACTCATTCACTCACTCACCCACCCACCCACCCACTCACCCACCTACCCACTCACTCACTCACCCACTCACCCACCCACCCACTCACCCACCCACTCACCCACCCACCCACTCACTCACCCACCCACCCACTCACCCACCCACCCACCCACTCACCCACCCACCCACTCACCCACCCATTCACACACCCACCCACTCACCCACCCACCCACTCACCCACTCACCCACCCACCCACCCACTCACTCACTCACCCACCCACTCACTCACCCACCCACCCACCCACTCACTCACCCACCCACTCACCCACCCACTCACCCACTCACTCACCCACTCACCCACCCACCCACTCACTCGGCCACCCACCCACCCACCCGCCCACCCGCCCACCCACCGACTCGCCCACCCACTCACCCACTCGCCCACCCACCCACTCACTCGCCCACCCACCCACTCACTCACCCACCCACCCACTCACTCACTCTCCCACTCACCCACTCACTCACTCTCCCACTCACCCACTCACTCACCCACTCACCCACTCACTCACCCACTCACCCACTCACTCACTCACCCACCCACCCACTCACCCACTCACCCACCCACTCACCCACTCAAACATCCACCCACCCACCCACTCACTCACCCACCCACTCACCCACTCACTCACCCACCCACCCACTCACCCACCCACCTACCAACTCACTCACTCACTCACCCACTCACCCACCCACCCACTCACCCACCCACTCACCCACCCACTCACTCACCCACTCACTCACCCACTCACCCACTCACTCACCCACCCACTCACTCACCCACCCACACGAACCAAACACGCAGACGTCCACCGCGGATGGAGTTGCCAATTCCACGTTTATTTTGAACACACACACAGAGACACAGAGACACACAGAGACACACTCGCAGAGAACCGGCTAGTTGCAGATCGTTTGGCAGCAGGAAGGAGGCGATGGCGCGGCCCGCAGCAACTACTTTGCGATTAGTTTTGATTCCGTGCGTTGCCTCTGTGAGCTAGAGGGGCGTGGTCACGCTGTTTCGTCACGCCCACAGCTGCGCGTATTTGGGGGGGGGGGGCGTGGCCCTCGCTCGTACCGCCCCCTAGTGGATGGAGGTCAGACTGGTACGGCAGCCACGTGGGCTACTCTCCACTCGCGCATCTCGGGATTTACTAAAGCCGCTAAACATACAGAGTGGGTGGGTGTGTGGGTGGGTGCGTGGGTGGGTGGGTGAGTGAGTGGGTGCGTGGGTGGGTGCGTGGGTGGGTGCGTGGGTGGGTGCGTGGGTGGGTGAGTGAGTGGGTGGGTGAGTGGGTGGGTGAGTGGGTGAGTGGGTGGGTGAGTGGGTGAGTGGGTGGGTGAGTGGGTGAGTGGGTGAGTGGATGGGTGGGTGGGTTGGTGAGTGGGTGAGTGCGTGGGTGGGTGAGTGAGTGGGTGGGTGAGTGGGTGGGTGGGTGGGTGAGTGGGTGAGTGGGTGGGTGAGTGGGTGGGTTGGTGGGTGAGTGGGTGGGTGGGTGGGTGAGTGGGTTGGTGAGTGGGTGGGTGAGTGGGTGAGTGAATGAGTGGGTGAGTGGATGGGTGGGTGGGTTGGTGAGTGAGTGAGTGCGTGGGTGGGTGAGGAAGTTCTTTACTTCTTCAGAAAGTTCAGGAATTCTGAAAAACAGACGTTATCATCATCAGCTACAACATCATCAGCTGCAGTATCATCATCATCAGCTAAAGTATAATTAGCTGCAACATCATCAGCTATAGTACCATCATCAGCCATCAAATATGCACTGTCAATGGGTGGGTGAGTAAGTGGAGGAGTGAATGAGTGAGTGGGTGAATGAGTGGGTGAGTGAGTGAGTGGGTGGGTGAGTGAGTGGGTGAGTGAGTGAGTGAGTGGGTGAGTGAGTGAGTGGGTTGGTGAGTGAGTGAGTGGGTTGGTGAGTGAGTGAGTGGGTGAGTGAGTGAGTGGGTGAGTGAGTGAGTGGGTGAGTGAGCGGGTGAGTGAGTGAGTGGGTGAGTGAGTGAGTGAGTGGGTGAGTGAGTGAGTGAGTGTGTGAGTGAGTGGGTGAGTGAGTGGGTGAGTGAGTGAGTGGGTGAGTGGGTGGGTGAGTGAGTGAGTGTGTGAGTGAGTGAGTGGGTGAGTGAGTGTGTGAGTGAGTGAGCGGGTGAGTGAGTGAGTGGGTGAGTGAGTGGGTGAGTGAGTGAGTGAGTGGGTGAGTGGGTGAGTGAGTGAGTGGATGAGTGAGTGGGTGGATGAGTGAGTTTGTGAACCTCCGTAGTTGACGTTTCCATCGTTCACTTTCCCTGGCGAGGAAATGAACTTCTGCAGGAGGCTGCTGTCGATGTTGAGGGAGGCGAGGATGCCCTTGATGGTCTCCACGCTGAGGAAACCAGAGCCGTCCTGTAGGGAGACCAGACAGAGACCCATCGACTCATCACCACACAGAGACCCATAGACTCATCACCACACACAGAGACCCATAGACTCATCATACACAGAGACCCATAGACTCATCACCACACACAGAGACCCATAGACTCATCACTACACACAGAGACCCATAGACTCATCACCACCACACAGAGACCCATAGACTCACCACCACACAGAGACCCATAGACTCATCACCACCACACAAAGACCCATAGACTCATCACCACCACACAGAGACCCATAGACTCACCACCACACAGAGACCCATAGACTCACCATCACACAGAGACCCATACACTCATCACCACACAGAGACCCATAGACTCATCACCACACAGAGACCCATAGACTCATCACCACACAGAGACCCATAGACTCACCACCACACAGAGACCCATAGACTCACCACCACACAGAGACCCATAGACTCATCACCACACAGAGACCCATAGACTCACCACCACACAGAGACCCATAGACTCATCACCACACAGAGACCCATAGACTCACCACACAGAGGCCCATAGACTCACCACCACACAGAGACCCATAGACTCACCACCATACAGAGACTCATAGACTCACCACCACACAGAGCCCCATAGACTCATCACCACCACACAGAGACCCATAGACTCACCACCACACAGAGACCCATAGACTCATCACCACACACAGACACCCATAGACTCACCACCACACAGAGACCCATAGACTCATCATCACACAGAGACCCATAGACTCATCACCACCACACAGAGACCCATAGACTCATCACCACACACAGACACCCATAGACTCACCACCACACAGAGACCCATAGACTCACCACCACACAGAGACTCATAGATTATTCACCACACAGAGACCCCATAGACTCACCATCACACAGAGACCCATAAACTCACCACCACACAGAGACCCATAGACTCACCAGCACACAGAGACCCATAGACTCATCATCACACACAGACCCATAGACTCATCACCACACAGAGACCCATAGACTCACCACCACACAGAGACCCATAGACTCACCACCACACAGAGACCCATAGACTCATCATCACACACAGACCCATAGACTCATCATCACACACAGACCCATAGACTCACCACCACACAGAGACCCATAGACTCACCACCACACAGAGACCCATAGACTCACCACCACACAGAGACCCATAGACTCATCATCACACACAGACCCATAGACTCACCACCACACAGAGACCCATAGACTCACCACCACACAGAGACCCATAGACTCACCACCACACAGAGACCCATAGACTCACCACCACACAGAGACCCATAGACTCACCACCACACAGAGACCCATAGACTCACCACCACACAGAGACCCATAGACTCACCACCACACAGAGACCCATAGACTCACCACCACACAGAGACGCATAGACTCACCACCACACAGAGACTCATAGATTCATCACCACACAGAGACCCATAGACTCACCACCACACAGAGACCCATAGACTCATCACCACACACAGACCCATAGACTCACCACCACACAGAGACCCATAGACTCATCACCACCACACAGACCCATAGACTCATCACCACACAGAGACCCATAGACTCACCACACAGAGGCCCATAGACTCACCACCACACAGAGACCCATAGACTCACCACCATACAGAGACTCATAGACTCACCACCACACAGAGCCCCATAGACTCATCACCACCACACAGAGACCCATAGACTCACCACCACACAGAGACCCATAGACTCACCACCACACAGAGACCCATAGACTCATCACCACACACAGACCCATAGACTCATCATGACCACACAGAGACCCATAGACTCATCATGACCACACAGAGACCCATAGACTCATCATGACCACACAGAGACCCATAGACTCATCACCACACACAGACACCCATAGACTCACCACCACACAGAGACCCATAGACTCATCATCACACAGAGACCCATAGACTCATCATCACACAGAGACCCATAGACTCATCACCACCACACAGAGACCCATAGACTCATCACCACACAGAGACCCATAGACTCACCACCACACAGAGACCCATAGACTCACCACCACACAGAGACCCATAGACTCATCATCACACACAGACCCATAGACTCATCATCACACACAGACCCATAGACTCACCACCACACAGAGACCCATAGACTCACCACCACACAGAGACCCATAGACTCACCACCACACAGAGACCCATAGACTCATCATCACACACAGACCCATAGAATCACCACCACACAGAGACCCATAGACTCACCACCACACAGAGACCCATAGACTCACCACCACACAGAGACCCACAGACTCACCACCACACAGAGACCCATAGACTCACCACCACACAGAGACCCATAGACTCACCACCACACAGAGACGCATAGACTCACCACCACACAGAGACTCATAGATTCATCACCACACAGAGACCCATAGACTCATCACCACCACACAGAGACCCATAGACTCATCACCACACAGAGACCCATAGACTCACCACCACACAGAGACCCATAGACTCATCACCACACACAGACCCATAGACTCATCATCACACAGAGACCCATAGATTCACCACCACACAGAGACCCATAGACTCACCACTACACAGAGACCCATAGACTCATCACCACCACACAGAGACCCATAGACTCACCACCACACAGAGACCCATAGACTCACCACCACACAGAGACACATAGACTCATCACCACACAGAGACCCATAGACTCACCACCACACAGAGACCCATAGACTCATCACCACCACACAGACCCATAGACTCATCACCACACAGAGACCCATAGACTCACCACACAGAGGCCCATAGACTCACCACCACACAGAGACCCATAGACTCACCACCATACAGAGACTCATAGACTCACCACCACACAGAGCCCCATAGACTCATCACCACACACAGACCCATAGACTCATCATGACCACACAGAGACCCATAGACTCATCATGACCACACAGAGACCCATAGACTCATCATGACCACACAGAGACCCATAGACTCATCACCACACACAGACACCCATAGACTCACCACCACGCAGAGACCCATAGACTCATCATCACACAGAGACCCATAGACTCATCATCACACAGAGACCCATAGACTCACCACCACACAGAGACCCATAGACTCATCACCACCACACAGAGACCCATAGACTCATCACCACACAGAGACCCATAGACTCACCACCACACAGAGACCCATAGACTCACCACCACACAGAGACCCATAGACTCATCATCACACACAGACCCATAGACTCATCATCACACACAGACCCATAGACTCACCACCACACAGAGACCCATAGACTCACCACCACACAGAGACCCATAGACTCACCACCACACAGAGACCCATAGACTCATCATCACACACAGACCCATAGAATCACCACCACACAGAGACCCATAGACTCACCACCACACAGAGACCCATAGACTCACCACCACACAGAGACCCATAGACTCACCACCACACAGAGACCCACAGACTCACCACCACACAGAGACCCATAGACTCACCACCACACAGAGACCCATAGACTCACCACCACACAGAGACGCATAGACTCACCACCACACAGAGACTCATAGATTCATCACCACACAGAGACCCATAGACTCATCACCACCACACAGAGACCCATAGACTCATCACCACACAGAGACCCATAGACTCACCACCACACAGAGACCCATAGACTCATCACCACACACAGACCCATAGACTCATCATCACACAGAGACCCATAGACTCACCACCACACAGAGACCCATAGACTCACCACTACACAGAGACCCATAGACTCATCACCACCACACAGAGACCCATAGACTCACCACCACACAGAGACCCATAGACTCACCACCACACAGAGACACATAGATTCATCACCACACAGAGACCCATAGACTAACCACCACACAGAGACCCATAGACTCATCATCACACAGAGACCCATAGACTCACCACCACACAGAGACCCATAGACTCATCATCACACAGAGACCCATAGACTCACCTCCACACACAGACCCATAGACTCATCACCACACAGAGACCCATAGACTCACCACCACACAGAGACCCATAGATTCACCACCACACAGAGACCCATAGACTCATCACCACACAGAGACCCATAGACTCACCACCACACAGAGACCCATAGACTCACCACCACACAGAGCCCCATAGACTCACCACCACACAGAGACCCATAGACTCACCACCACACAGAGACCCATAGACTCACCATCACACAGAGACCCATAGACTCACCACCACCACACAGAGACCCATAGACTCACCACCACCACACAGAGACCCATAGACTCACCACCACACAGAGACCCATAGACTCACCACCACACAGAGACCCATAGACTCATCATCACCACACAGAGACCCATAGACTCATCACCACACAGAGACCCATAGACTCACCACCACACAGAGACCCATAGACTCACCACCACACAGAGACCCATAGACTCACCACCACCACCACACAGAGACCCACAGACTCACCACCACGTGACCCAGAAGTGACCGCGATATTAATCAGGTAGACAGGGCAAGGAAATTCCACGTTGCCAAGCCGAGGACAGTCCGCCACGAACCTTGTCCTTGGACTTGAAGAGCGAGGTGAGTTGATCCACGGGTATGGGAAGAGACTTGGCAGCCTTGAAGAGCTGGCGAAGGGGTGGGAGAGTGGATTAGTGGGTGGGTTAGTGGGTGGGTTAGTGGGTGGGTTAGTGGGTGGGTGAGTGGGTGGGTTAGTGGGTGAGTGAGTGGGTGAGTGGGTGGGTGAGTGAGTGGGTGAGTGGGTGAGTGGGTGAGTGGGGGAGTGAGTGGGTGGGTGAGTGAGTGGGCGAGTGGGTGAGTGGGTGGGTGAGTGGGTGAGTGGGTGAGTGAGTGAGTGGGTGAGTGGGTGAGTAAGTGGGTGAGTGGGTGAGTGGGTGAGTGAGTGAGTGGGTGGGTGGGTAAGTGGGTGAGTGGGTGGGTGAGTGAGTGGGTGAGTGGGTGGGTGGGTGAGTGGGTGAGTGGGTGGGTGGGTGAGTTGGTGGTTGAGTGGGTGAGTGGCTGGGTGGATGGGTGTGTGGCTGAGTTCACTAATTTGCTCTAACACAGAACCCACTCAATGACATGCTATAAGCTCCCTCTGTATATCCTGAAACAGGCGGTTGGGGCAAGTTCCCCGCTCACGGCCAAACTGATGTCGCCGGGTTCATAGCGCAGTGTGCTAACCGCAGCCCCACCACTCAACCACCCACTCACTCACCCACCCACCCACTCACCCACCCACCCACTCACCCACTCACTCACCCACTCACTCACCCACTCACCCACCCACCCACTCACCCACTCACCCACCCACCCACTCACTCACTCACCCACCCACTCACCCACCCACCCACTCACCCACTCACTCACCCACTCACCCACTCACCCACCGACTCACTCACCACCAACTCACTCACCCCCTCACTCACTCACCCACCCACCCACCTACTCACTCACCCACCCACCCACCTACTCACTCACCCCCTCACTCACTCACCCGCCCACTCACTCACCCACTCGCCCACTCACTCACCCCCTCACTCACCCACCCACCTACTCACCCACCCACCTACTCACCCACCCACCCACCTACTCACCCACCCACCCACCCACTCACCCACCCACCCACCCACTCACCCACCCACCCACCCACTCACCCACCCACCCACCTACTCACCCACTCACTTACCCACCCACCTACTCACCCACCCACCCACCTACTCACCCACCCACTCACTCACTAACTTACATCCATATCTGCTGAGAGTTGAGCTGGGTGTGGAAGCTACGAAGGTGAGAATGAGAGCTGTGACAATCGACTCACAGCCTCAGTACCTCCATTTATACTCACCGGCGTGTTTACATTCCTCTGTATCCCTCCGCTAAAACCGCACCCCCCGTTGCATCGAGAAAAAAGTAGTTCCGTGTAAACGCTGGTCCATCCACTCAGTCACCCAACTACTCAGTCACCCACTCACTCAGTCACCCACTCACTCAGTCACCTACCTACTCACTCAGTCACCTACTCACTCAGTCACCCACTCAGTCACCCACCTACCTACTCACTCAGTCACCTACTCACTCAGTCACCCACTCAGTCACCCACCTACTCACTCAGTCACTCACTCACTCAGTCACCTACTCACTCAGTCACCCACTCAGTCACCCACCTACTCACTCAGTCACCCACTCACTCACTTAGTCACCCACTCACTCAGTCACCCACTCAGTCACCCACCTACTCACTCACTCAGTCACCCACCTACTCACTCACTCAGTCACCCACCTACTCACTCACTCAGTCACCCACCCACTCACTCACCCACCCATTCACCCACTCACCCACTCACCCACCGACTCACTCACCACCAACTCACTCACCCCCTCACTCACTCACTCACCCACCCACCCACCCACTCACCCACCCACTCACTCACCCACTCGCCCACTCACTCACCCCCTCACTCACCCACCCACCTACTCACCCACCCACCTACTCACCCACCCACCCACCTACTCACCCACCCACCCACCCACCTACTCACCCACCCACCCACTCACTCACCCACCCACCCACCTACTCACCCACCCACCCACCCACTCACCCACCCACCCACCCACTCACCCACCCACCCACCCACTCACCCACCCACCCACCTACTCACCCACTCACTTACCCACCCACCTACTCACCCACCCACCCACCTACTCACCCACCCACTCACTCACTAACTTACATCCATATCTGCTGAGAGTTGAGCTGGGTGTGGAAGCTACGAAGGTGAGAATGAGAGCTGTGACAATCGACTCACAGCCTCAGTACCTCCATTTATACTCACCGGCGTGTTTACATTCCTCTGTATCCCTCCGCTAAAACCGCACCCCCCGTTGCATCGAGAAAAAAGTAGTTCCGTGTAAACGCTCGACCATCCACTCAGTCAGTCACCCACTCACTCAGTCACCCACTCACTCAGTCACCCACCTACTCACTCAGTCAGTCACCCACCTACTCACTCAGTCAGTCACCCACCTACTCACTCAGTCACCCACTCACTCAGTCACCCACTCACTCACTTAGTCATCCACCTACTCACTCAGTCAGTCACCCACCTACTCACTCACTCAGTCACCCACTCAGTCAGTCACCCACTCAGTCACCCACCTACTCACTCACTCAGTCACCCACCTACTCACTCACTCACTCACCCACCCACTCACTCAGTCACACACTCACTCAGTCATCCACCCACTCACTCAGTCACCCACCTACTCACTCAGTCAGTCACCCACCTACTCACTCACTCAGTCACACACTCACTCAGTCACCCACCTACTCACTCACTAACTCACCTACTCACTCACTCAGTCACCCACTCACTCAGTCACCCACTCAGTCACCCACCTACTCACTCAGTCAGTCACCCACCGACTCACTCAGTCAGTCACCCACCGACTCACTCAGTCAGTCACCCACATACTCACTCACTCAGTCACCCACCTACTCACTCAGTCACTCACTCACTCACTCACCCACCTACTCACTCAGTCAGTCACCCACATACTCACTCACTCAGTCACCCACCTACTCACTCACTCAGTCACCCACCTACTCACTCAGTCACCCACTCACTCACTCAGTCAGTCACCCACCTACTCACTCAGTCACCCACTCACTCAGTCAGTCACCCACTCACTCACTCAGTCAGTCACCCACCTACTCACTCAGTCACCCACTCACTCACTCAGTCAGTCACCTACTCACTCACTCAGTCACCCACTCACTCAGTCACCCACCTACTCACTCACTCAGTCACCCACTCACTCAGTCACCCACTCAGTCACCGACCTACTCACTCAGTCAGTCACCCACCGACTCACTCAGTTGGTCACCCACCGACTCACTCAGTCAGTCACCCACCTACTCACTCACTCAGTCACCCACCTACTCACTCACTCAGTCACCCACCTACTCACTCAGTCACCCACTCACTCACTCAGTCAGTCACCCACCTACTCACTCAGTCACCCACTCACTCAGTCAGTCACCCACTCACTCACTCAGTCACCCACCTACTCACTCACTCAGTCACCCACCTACTCACTCACTCAGTCTCCCACTCACTCAGTCACCCACCTACTCACTCACTCAGTCACCAACTCAGTCACCCACCTACTCACTCAATCAGTCACCTACTCACTCAGTCACCCACCTACTCACTCACTCAGTCACCCACTCACTCAGTCAGTCACACACCTACTCACTCAGTCACCTACTCACTCACTCAGTCACACACCTACTCACTCAGTCACCTACTCACTCACTCAGTCACCCACCTACTCACTCAGCCACCTACTCACTCACTCAGTCACCAACCTACTCACTCAGTCACCTACTCACTCACTCAGTCACCAACCTACTCACTCAGTCACCTACTCACTCAGTCAGTCACCCACCTACTCACTCAGTCAGTCACCCACCTACTCACTCACTCAGTCACCCACTCACTAAGTCACCCACCTACTCACTCACTCAGTCACCCACCTACTCACTCAGTAACCCACCTACTCACTCACTCAGTCTCCCACTCACTCAGTCACCCACCTACTTACTCACTCAGTCACCAACTCAGTCACCCACCTACTCACTCACTCAGTCACCCACTCACTCAGTCAGTCACTCACCTACTCACTCAGTCACCTACTCACTCACTCAGTCACACACCTACTCACTCAGTCACCTACTCACTCACTCAGTCACCCACCTACTCACTCAGCCACCTACTCACTCACTCAGTCACCAACCTACTCACTCAGTCACCTACTCACTCAGTCAGTCACCCACCTACTCACTCAGTCAGTCACCCACCTACTCACTCAGTCAGTCACCCACCTACTCACTCACTCAGTCACCCACTCACTAAGTCACCCACCTACTCACTCACTCAGTCACCCACCTACTCACTCACTCAGTCAGTCACCCACTCACTCAGTCACCCACCTACTCACTCACTCAGTCACCCACCTACTCACTCAGTCACCCACCTACTCACTCACTCAGTCACCCACCTACGCACTCACTCAGTCATCCACCTACTCACTCAGTCAGTCACCCACCTACACACTCACTCAGTCACACACTCACTCAGTCACCCACCTACTCACTCACTCAGTCACCCACCTACTCACTCACTCAGTCACCCACCTACTTACTCACTCAGTCACCCACCTACTCACTCAGTCAGTCACCCACCTACTCACTCACTCAGTCATCCACCTACTCACTCAGTCAGTCACACACCTACTCACTCACTCAGTCACCCACTCACTCAGTCACCCACCTACTCACTCACTCAGTCACCTACCTACTCACTCAGTCAGTCACCCACTCAGTCACCCACCTACTCACTCAGTCACTCACTCACTCAGTCACCCACCTACTCACTCAGTCAGTCACCCACCTACTCACTCACTCAGTCACCCACCTACTCACTCACTCAGTCACCCACCTACTCACTCAGTCAGTCACCCACCTACTCACTCACTCAGTCACCCACTTACTCACTCAGTCAGTCACCCACCTACTCACTCACTCATACACCCACTCACTCAGTCACCCACCTACTCACTCACTCAGTCACTCAGTCACCCACCCACTCACTCAGTCACACACTCACTCAGTCACCCACCTACTCACTCAGTCAGTCACCCACCTACTCACTCACTCAGTCACCCACCTACTCACTCACTCAGTCACCCACCTACTCACTCAGTCGGTCACCCACCCACTCACTCACTCAGTCACACACTCAGTCACCCACCTACTCACTCACTCAGTCACCCACCTACTCACTCACTCAGTCACCCACCTACTCACTCAGTCGGTCACCCACCCACTCACTCACTCAGTCACACACTCACTCAGTCACCCACCTACTCACTCACTCAGTCACCCACTCAGTCACCCACCTACTCACTCAGTCACCCACTCAGTCACCCACCTACTCACTCACTCAGTCACCCACCCACTCAGTCACCCACCTACTCACTCACTCAGTCACCCACCTACTCACTCACTCAGTCACCCACTCACTCACTCACTCACCCACCTACTCACTCACTCAGTCACCCACCCACTCACTCACTCAGTCACCCATTCACTTACTCAGTCACCCACCTACCCACTCAGTCACCCACTCACTAACTCAGTCACTCAGTCACCCACTCACTCACTCAGCCGCTCACTCACTCAGTCATCCACCGGCTCACTCACTCACTCGCTCACTCACACACCTACCCACTCAGTCACCCACTCACTAACTCAGTCACTCAGTCACCCATTCACTCACTCACCCACTCACTCACGCACTCAATCACCAACTCACCCCCTCACTCACCCACTCACCCACCGACTCACCCATTTCCACACTCACCACAATGATCATCTACATGAGGTGGAGTAGTCAAAGTCGCTAGTACTGGGGGAGAGACAAAGGCGGCCGGGCGTGGTGGTGCTGGTAGCCACCCACCCCCTCTGTGTGTGTAGCCACAGTGCCGGTAGCCTTCATAGACGCTGCTGCTGCTAACAGCACTTGCCCCCACAGCCCCGTGTGAGGCTACCTGGGGGAGCTTTGTCTTTGCCTGGCCATCAACACTTGCCCCTACAGCCCCGTGTGAGGCTACCTGGGGGAGCTTTGTCTTTACCTGACCATCAGCACTTACCCCTACAGCCCCGCGTGAGGCTACCTGGGGGAGCTTTGTCTTTACCTGACCATCAGAACTTGCCCCTACAGCCCCGTGTGAGGCTATCTGGGGGAGCTTTTTCTTTACCTGCCCATCAGCACTTGCCCCTAAG